AGAATGCATGAATGTGAAGCAACAATGACTTTATTGCCTCTGCAAGCGGTGATTGAAGGGAGGAGGGGCGGGTGGTTAGCTTACAGGGAAGTAGAGTGAACCAAGGGGCGGGGGGTTTCATCAAGGAGAAACAAACAGAACTTTCACACCGTAGCCTGGCCAGTCATGAAACTGGTTTTCAAAGCTTCTCTGATGCGTACCGCGCCCTCCTGTGCTCTTCTAACCGCCCTGGTGTCTGGCTGCGCGTAACCAGCAGCCAGGCGATTTGCCTCAACCTCCCACCCCGCCATAAACGTCTCCCCCTTACTCTCACAGATATTGTGGAGCACACAGCAAGCAGTAATAACGGTGGGAATATTGGTTTCGCTGAGGTCTAAGCGAGTCAGTAAACTGCGCCAGCGCGCCTTTAAACGTCCAAATGCACATTCTACCGCCATTCTGCACTTGCTCAGCCTGTAGTTGAACAGCTCCTGACTACTGTCCAGGCTGCCTGTGTACGGCTTCATGAGCCATGGCATTAAGGGGTAGGCTGGGTCTCCAAGGATAACTATAGGCATTTCAACATCCCCAACAGTTATTTTCTGGTCTGGGAATAAAGTCCCTTCCTGCAGCTTTTGAAACAGACCAGAGTTCCTGAAGATGCGAGCATCATGCACCTTTCCCGGCTATCCCACGTTGATGTTGGTGAAACGTCCCTTGTGATCCACCAGAGCTTGCAGCACTATCGAAAAGTACCCCTTGCGGTTTATGTACTCGGCGGCTTGGTGCTCCGGTGCCAAGATAGGGATATGGGTTCCGTCTATAGCCCCACCACAGTTAGGGAATCCCATTGCAGCAAAGCCATCCACTATGACCTGCACATTTCCCAGGTCATTATGCACATTTCCCAGGTCATTATGACCTGCACATTACCCTTGATATCAGCAGATCTTTGATTGCGTGGGCTACTTGCATCACAGCAGCCCCCACAGTAGATTTGCCCACTCCAAATTGATTCCCAACTGACCGGTAGCTGTCTGGCGTTGCAAGCTTCCACAGGGCTATCGCCACTCGCTTCTCAACTGTGAGGGCTGCTCTCATCTTGGTATTCATGCGCCTCAGGGCAGGGGAAAGCAAGTCACAAAGTTCCATGAAAGTGCCCTTATGCATGCGAAAGTTTCGCAGCCACTGGGAATCGTCCCAGACCTGCAACACTATGCGGTCCCACCAGTCTGTGCTTGTTTCCCGAGCCCAGAATCGGCATTCCACAGCATGAACCTGCCCCATTAGCACCATGATGCATGCATTGGCAGGGCCCATGCTTTCAGAGAAATCTGTGTCCATGTCCTGATCACTCACGTGACCGCGCTGACGTCGCCTCCTCGCCCGGTATCGCTTTGCCAGGTTCTGGTGCTGCATATACTGCTGGATAATGCGTGTGGTGTTTAATGTGCTCCTAATTGCCAAAGTGAGCTGAGCGGCCTCCATGCTTGCCTTGGTATGGCGTCCGCACAGAAAAAAGGCGCGGAACGATTGTCTGCCGTTGCTCTGACGGAGGGAGGGGCGACTGACGACACGGCTTACAGGGTTGGCTTCAGGGAGCTAAAATCAACAAAGGGGGTGCCTGTACATCAAGGAGTATTTCAGGCAGGACTTCACGGAGGGTTCCAATAAGAAATGGTGCACCTAAGTTATCGTTCTTATTGGAACAAGGAGGTTAGCCTGGCCTCTGATTGATACATGGCTAGATTTACCTCGCTGCACCTTCTCTGTGAGTGACTGCAGTGTGACCTAGAGGAATGAGTCCCCTAGACAGGGGAGGAGGCAAATGAGTACAAAACAAATCTGGTCTATTTCTTGTTTTGACCCACTCCATCTATCTTTTACATCTTTGGCTGGCAGCAGACGGTGCAGAAGGACTGCATGCCATCCACATCTCATGGCTGCTCGGCAGAAGATGGTACAGTACGACTGCTAGCCATCCTCATCTCTTGCCTGCCTGGCAGAAGATGGTACAGTACGACTGCTAGCAGTCCGTATCGCCTGCCCGCTCACCATAAGACGGTTCAATAGAACTGACTGCAGGACTAAAGAGAATGACCTGGTCAAGTCACTCCAAATTTAGTCCCTGCGCCCATGTCTGCCCAGGTGCTCCCAGCCGACGTGGCCAGGAGCACCTCGGACACGACGAGGACGACTACCAGTCGTATTGCACTGTCTGCTGCCAGAAGGCAATGGGTTGCTGCTACTGTGCAGCAAAGCCGTACCGCGTCTGCCAGCACCCAGGAGACATAGGGTGACGGTTACCTGAGTGGGCTCCATGCTTGCCGTGGTATGGCGTCTGCACAGGTAACTCAGGAAAAAAGGCGCAAAATGATTGTCTGCCCTTGCTTTCACGGAGGGAGGGAGGGAACGGGGGCCTGACGATACGTACCCAGAACCACCCGCGACAATGTTTTAGCCCCATCAGAGTGCTCCATTGTGACTGCTCTGGACAGCACTGTCAGATGCCCGATTGTTTGCCGTTGCTCTGACGCCGGGAGGGGCGACTGAGGACACGGCTTACAGGGTTGGCTTCAGGGAGCTAAAATCAACAAAGGGGGTGGCTTTACATCAAGGAGTATTTCAGGCAGGACTTCACGGAGGGTTCCAATAAGAAATGGTGCACCTAAGTTATTGTCCTTATTGGAGCAAGAAGGTTAGCCTGGCCTCTGATTGATACATGGCTAGATTTACCTCGCTGCACCTTCTCTGTGAGTGACTGCAGTGTGATCTAGAAGAATGAGTCCCCTAGACAGGGGAGGGGGGGAAGCAAATGAGTACAAAACAAATCTGGTCTATTTCTTGTTTTGATCCACTCCATCTATCTTTTACATCTTTGGCTGGCAGCAGACAGTGCAGAAGGACTGCATGCCATCCACATCTCATGGCTGCTCGGCAGAAGATGGTACAGTACGACTGCTAGCAGTCCGTGTCGCCTGCCCGCTCACCATAAGACGGTTCAATAGGACTGACTGCAGGACTAAAGAGAATGACCTGGTCAAGTCACTCCAAATTTAGTCCCTGCGCCCATGTCTGCCCAGGCGCTCCCAGCGACGTGGCCAGGAGCACCTCGGACATGACGATGACGGCTACCAGTCGTACTGTACCGTCTGCTGCCACAAGGCAAGGGGTTGCTGCTACTCTGTAGCAATGCCGTACCGCGTCTGCCAGCACCCAGGAGACATAGGGTGACGGTTACCTGAGCGGGCTCCATGCTTGCAGTGGTATGGCGTCTGCACAGGTAACTCAGGAAAAAAGGCGCGAAACGATTGTCTGCCCTTGCTTTCACGGAGGGAGGGAGGGAACGGGGGCCTGACGATATGTACCCAGAACCACCCGCGACAATGTTTTAGCTCCATCAGGCATTGGGATCTCAACCCAGAATTCCAATGGGCAGCAGAGGCTGCGGGAACTGTGGGATAGCTACCCACAGTGCAACGCTCCGGAAGTCGACTCTAGCCTCGGTACTGTGGAAGCGCTCCGCCGAGTTAATGCACTTAATGCACTTAGAGCATTTTCTGTGGGGACACACACACTCGAAGATATAAAACCGATTTCTAAAAAACCGACTTCTATAAATTCGACCTAATTCCGTAGTGTAGACATACCCTTAATGAAGCAGGCACAACCCTGCTTCGATTTTAAAAGCACAGGAGATGAGTCACATTCTGAAGTATTACTGCAGCCTTTTAAGGATGCAGCCCTTGGCTCTTCAGTTACATTTTACTGTAACTTCCATAATTTACTCATTCCCAAATGCACTTATGCATGCGCCATATAGTTATTTGAATTTGGTGTTAGTCATGTTGGCATAAAAACATTATGATCTGCTGTGCAGGTGAAGAGTCCAGGAGTGTTACTGATGCAGGAAAAGGGTGAGGAGGAGTGTTTACAACATCTAAAAGCCACAGGCTCTTTGAGAATATATATGGTTTGCTGTACGAGACTTAAACAGATTTATACTTCCCCCCTCTGCTCTAATATGAGCTAGAGACACTAGCAGCAGGTCCTGCATTTTGAAGACTCTGTTCTTCCAGCACTGTCTCCCACAATGCATCTATGACTGCCATCTGTGAACACTCCTTCACACTAACCAATAGTACCTGGGAACAGTGGGTACATCGAGTTGGGGGTGAGTGCTTCTGTCAGGATGGACAGTGTGTACTGAGCATGCTGCCTAGGGTGACCAGATAGCAAGGGTGAAAAATCGGGACAGGGGGTGAGGGGTAATAGGTACTTATATAAGACAAAGCCCATCGGGACTGTCCCTATAAAATCGGGACACCCTAATGCTGCCTGAGCATTTTGTAAACATTCTTAATGAGAAGAACTAGAGTGGGAGGTCAGAAAGTGCTGAGGACAACTCCATTTTCAATGTTAAGTCTGCATTTTTGCTCCAATAAATAACAGTAGCACAACTCTGTAGGCCAACATTTAAAATATTGAGATGTCTAATCACATTATTGCACTCAAAAATTAAACAGTTAGATGTCTACATGCTATAAAACACCCTCACAATTATTTGTGATTGCATAACTATGGAAACAAAATAGGAGGCCACTTTGAAAATCAGGAGCAGTGAACCTATTCCTATAGCTGTTTCACTTTGTTCAGCAATTTTGTAAGTGTGCTTCACTATGTAACTTTGGAGGAGTATCACTCTGGGAGTTTCTTGTTTTATACTGACCAATATAATGTTTTTAGAAATAATTTTTACAGATGATGATCAATGAGCGAAGAATTTGACTTTCAGAAAGAAAATTGCTACAAAAGATATTACTTTTTGCTTTTCTGCAATTGCTTTTCTGCAGTTCCACTGTAAAAATTGAAAAACCTTCTTAAGTTTAGCTATCAAACTGCTTCATTTGAGTATCATTCTGTTAACAATTTTCTGTCGTGTCTGTCTAACATCCATTTTTGTTTTTGTATTTTTTTTTCAAATACCACTGGGAGATAACATATGGAATAGAAAGACTTGCCTGAACATTGTGAAATGGCTTCTCATTTTCATAAGATTCACTGCAATGCATGAAGTCATCGATGCTAAGCTGAAAAGCAGAAAAATAGTGCAGGTCACACGGTGTCATCTCCGCTCATTACACACAAGCTGTACTCTGCATTGACAAGATGAAACAAATTACCAGTACATACCGTATCTTGAAGGAACAAGACAAGGTTCTTGGAATCCTGGGTAAACACAGGCTGCAGTAGCATATGCAGCTCCTGCTTTGAGATAATGTGTCCCTCATGTAAAGTAGCTTCAGAGTTCCACAGTGAGCTAAAATTAAAGTTAAATATTTTCCTTTTTACTCGTTGCAAAGGTTGACATTTTGTTTCACAAATATACAAATGCTGGTAATGATATCATAGTCTTTTGATAAAGATCAGGTGTAATATCTGACAGTCTATTCTAGAAATGAATTCAAATGGACAAATTATTCTAGTGTAGTTCATATCAAGTCCGTTGAGTTACACTAAGGATGAACTGGGGCATGGGTGACTATTATTTATGACTACTGCCACTTGCCATTAGTATTTATCATGATTTGTGGAGTGCCAACAGTATGCTAGATGCTTTATTGACATGTGTAAAATGGGGACCCTCACATGAAGAATTTACATTCTCCATGCCCAATCCTGCAAACACATACTAATAAACGAAGTGCTTTCCACTGTGGACGATTCCTCAGAAGTCAATGACACTGCCAATGGTAATAAACACTGTGGATCCAATTCAGCAAACCATCAGTGTTCAGCAACGCCTATGCTTAACTAGACCTCAATAGGACTTAAGTACATGCTTAAGTGGTTTGCTGAACAGGGATGGATTTAAGCATCCATATAGGCATATTATTGTAATAGACAGGATATTTTTGAAAAGAAAGTTGATGGTACATAGTACCTTTCTTTTATAAAATAGATTTTAAAGGTTGGAAGAAAGTCATATTGTTGTTTAGAATACAAAAGAAATTTTCCATCTGCTTGCTCTGGATCCTTGTAATGGTCCTTTCATCCTCTAGAGAGACATGGGTACAAGCTGTCCTATGTTTTAAATGGAAATAGATTAGCCATCACAGCTGTTCAAAAATGGCCTTAGCAAAATGAATAATTTGGCAGGGAACAATGGAGCTGGTGACTCAAATGGCTACGACTCGACTTGGGAAGCAAGCTGCTATATCTGATTTGTGTGCAAAACTAAAACTACTATTCTCTGGTGCCAGATTTCTTCTTGAATTTAACATACTTCCCTGGGAACAAAGAGTAAGCAGAGCCAAAGAGAGAGGTGCAGATCCACACGGAGGGTGTTGTGGTGGTGATGATGATGATGGTGGCACTTTTAGAGGGGAGAATTCAGGAACTGTGTTGCAATCACCAACACCACTACCTGTAGCACTTCATGGAGACGCAGAACTCATTACTGAAGGGATGCGAGGAGGAGCACGAATACGGGGAAGCTGATGAGGAAAGGCTGAAAACAGATTTGTGGCCAGGAGGTGAAGCAGTAAGTTGACTCGTTGTTCCATTGTGGCTAAGGCTAAAAGGCTGCCATTGAAAGTCCAATTTCCCTGTAGTAGCATCCTCTATTGGAATCTTTCATCTGGTCTCTGTGGTTTTCTACTGGAGGACCCGCAACAACAAAGAACCATCAGACAAATAGACTCAATAGTTTTGTGCCAAAACTTGGTTGCCAATGGGAATCAGTAAGAATGTGTTGAAAATTTTCAGCTGGAATTTCCACTACCGAATTGCCACTAAACTACTTGCATAGTGCAGCCAGACAGCCTGGTGTTATACAGTGGATAGAATTCATGCTAAGTTACTAATATTTTGGCATCACATGAACACTTATGAGATAAGATCTTTTAAAGTGAAGGTGGATTTGCAATAATAATGCATAAATATGTTTTCTCATAGGTTCTTCAATATTGAAACAACCACTTTTGCAGAAACTTCTTGGAGGAAAAAAATTACTTTTTCAGAAGTATGAAATCATCCAGAATAAAAATGGTAAAAGTTTTCATGCAACGCTCTATTAAAGCATTTACAATACATTTGCACAGCTCTAATAGCAGAGAGAGAAATAGGTGACTGCCTATATTTTAAAACATTGTCACCTGGTATTGCAAAACTAAAACCAGGAACAACTTAGAACTTTCATATTTTATCAAAGATCTGGGGGTTTGGATAAATTATCCTATATTTGCCTATCTCCAGATCATAATATTTAGTGAAACCATTTGTTTTATAGAAGTATCATAGGTAGGTACTTAGGCAGCTATTTGGTAAAATATTATACATATTACAAAAGTATATTTTCAATACAGAAGTAATGATGACACCGTGCTCTTTTAATAGTCCAATACTTCACATTGTTCCACTTGGGTGCAAAACTCTATGGAAAATCTGGCCCGAAATGACTTGTCTAAGGTAATACTGCAACTCTGGAAAAACAGGTTTCAGAGTAGCAGCCGTGTTAGTCTGTATCCGCAAAAAGAAAAGGAGGACTTGTGGCACCTTAAAGACAAACACATTTATTTGAGCATAAGCTTTCATGAGCTACAGCTCACTTCATCAAGCTTACGCTCAAATAAATTTGTTTGTCTCTAAGGTGCCACAAGTCCTCCTTTTCTTTTTTTCTGGAAAAACAGGAGTAGAACCTCAGTCTTGCATCTTCTGGTCACGTGCTTTAACACTAAACCATGATAAGTCAGTGTTCTTAGCTTGAATCAAATGAGTTCCATTGTAATGGACAACAGATGCACAATTTCGTATTCAGCCTGCTATTATTGATTGTAATCTGAGCCACAAGTGAATGTGAGAGCATGATTTTTTAATCAGGAACTGTTGCAAGGAGAATCCTTTCAGAGTCACAGCCTTTCATGGGTGAAAATACTTTGGGTGTTCGGGCAGAATGGAGATGTGATACCAGCTGTGATACTGGCAGTCAGGAAAAACAGTAGTCTGCTGAGAATATAGTTCACTGTTGATTGCCAGTCGAAAGCAAACTCTATTTCTCTGCAAGGCTTCCCAGAGTTTTGTGAGGAGTCGACTCAGGGTCTCAGTTTGCACCCTGAGTTGACATGAAAGCTGTTTGGAAAGATAAAATATCTAGTTTCAGAGGAACAGCCGTGTTAGTCTGTATCCGCAAAAAGAACAGGAGGACTTGTGGCTCCTTAGAGACTAACCAATTTATTTGAGCATGAGCCCTCGTGAGCTACAGCTCACTTCATCACGAAAGCTCATGCTCAAATAAATTGGTTAGTCTCTAAGGTGCCACAAGTCCTCCTGTTCTTTTTATAAAATATCTAGTTTACCGTAGATTTTCAATCTTACAGCAAGTGGTAGGTGCTGGGGACACTTTCAGGAAAAGGCTTCAAGGATGTTAAAATTAAAGACTAGTGGAGCCACTTTTTAAACCTTAGGGGTAAACCCTGCAGTGGCGGCAATACATTTCTTCTTATTGTTTGGGAGCTCTTACCATTTGATATTTTCATAAGCATGTTAAGCCTCTTCATTTGTGCTTTGAAATTCATACTGATGAATGTGCAGAAAGCCCAAGAGCTTAGAAATTGCTTCAGAGGTATGCTTGGAATTTTGAGAGACGGCAAACCCCATGATCTCAGCATCAGCCTTAAATATAAACTTTTAAAACCGCAGGGAAAGCCCCAAGGATTCACAATTATTATTCATATAGAGTTTTAGTGCCTCAGCTCAATCCTGAACCTCTGACTTTTTTACATTTATATCAGCAAGATACAGCATTAAAATATTAAGGAAACTGATTACAGATTAATTTATGCAAAATTAGTAAATGGCACGTCTGAGGGCAGGGAGAAAGGACAGCAAAAAGTTTTAACAAGCAAATCAAACAGTAGTTTAAAATCAGTTTCCCAGACAGCATTGGCAAAATTGTACAAAATAAATATTCACATGATTATTCCAGAGCTTTTACATCTGCAATTAATTGGAAAAATACATGACACAGAAAACAGAATTATATTAACAGGGAGTCTTTGTGGCACCTTAGAGACTAACAAATTTATTTGGGCATAAGCTTTTGTGGGCTAAAACCCACTTTATCAGATGCATGGAGTGGAACATACAGTAGGGAGGTACAAATAAACAGCATATAAAAAGATGGGAGTTGCGGAGGCAGTGCTAACAAGCCAATTCAATTAAGGTGGAAATGGGCTATTCTCAACAGTTGACAAAAAGGGGTGGAAATCACTTTTTGTAGTGCTAATGAGGCCAGTGTAAACAAGGTGGCCCAGTTCAAACAGTTGACAAGAAGGTGTGACTATCAGCAGGGGGAAATTAATTTTTGTAGTGACCCATCCATTCCCAGTCTTTATTCAGGCCTAATTTGATGGTGTCCAGTTTGCAAATTAATTCCAGTTCTGCAGTTTCTCCTTGGAGTCTGTTAAATTAAATTAGATTCTAAATCAGTATGGTAAAAATTTGTGGGTTTATTTTTTATTTAGCTCAACATAGGAACAATACAAAGATGTTGGGACGTTAATAAGCCCATTTTAAAATATGGGAGTCTTGGAAAGGCTCACCATTCTTAAGCACTCATCCTTTGATGGCTTTTTGAGTGGGTGGGGCACCTTTTCTAAGGTGATTTAGATTCTGAACAGTGTACTTCAATAATGCAAGCATCATTGCCAGAAATACAATCTACATAGGTTGGTTCTTATCTCTCGTTACTTCATTTTATTACATGTATTTTCACTTACTGTGTGTTTGTGAGTACATGGACTGCCACAAAAATAGAGACTTTAAAAACGGTGGCCCTGGAAACTTCACCAGTAGACTAAAAGCTGTTTAAGGGCACGCTGAAGCCACCAGAGAGGCTGCCATCAACTTCAGGTGCTGAATGAGTAATATTAATTCATACCTTAATGTGAACATTTGTTTAATATTCACATTAACCATATCATTTGCCTGTTTATTTTAAATCTCTTAATTGCAGTTAGCTGTGTGTTTACATATTTTACTGTCTGGTTAAAGAAGAGGTGGGGAATAAGACTCAGATGCCCTGCTTCCACCACCAGGGTGTAGCTAGGGTGACCAGACAGCAAATGTGAAAAATCAGGATGAGGGTGGGGGGTAATAGGAGCCTATATAAGAAAAAGATCCAAAAATTGGGACTGTCCCTATAAAATCAGGACATCTGGTCACCCTAGGTGTAGCACAAGCCTGCAGGGGATGGGTACAGGAAGGAGTGCTAAGCCTGCAGTTTGCTTGCCCTCCCACTATCTCCACAGACATCCTGAA